GGTCTGAGGAGCTCTTTGTAATAAACGAATCATTCAAGTAAAAGCTAACTGCACTTTATATTTACTCGGGTCATCTTTGTCTAACTTTAGAATTATTTGGGTGTTCATAGAGCACTGTTGGTGTGAGGCAGAGGTGACCAATTATCTCTACTGTTTCAATTTGTTTACACCTCGTTAATATCCACTGTTTCGCACTTTTGCAGGTTTTTTAGGTGCCGTAACATCGGGTCTCAGGAGAGCACTGGTGCTCTGAGAACAGATTTAATTTGTTTAGTCAGGCCAGCTTAGCGTGAGAAAAATGCAAAACAGTTCTTTTTCAGACTACAAGCACTTCTCAATCTCCGTCGCTCTCTCTCCTCTTTTCATCACTTGCTTCTCGACTCAAAGTGCTTCTCATTTCAATTGCATTGCCTCTTTTTTCCATCCCTCTACTTATCTTTCTGCCTGCATCATCCCATCATCCCTCTCTCAAACCCTTTTCAGCTGTTTCCTGTCACCTCTCACTTCTGACACTGCAGACATCCCTTCATTCCTCTTCCCTCCCATCCTATCATCATTCTCTTCCTCCATCTGCATCACTGCCTCTATCCATCCTTCTGTCTCTCCATTTTCATCCCTGGAATAGCATTTACTCATCTATCTCTCCACATGACTTACATGTCCATCCCTTTCCCCTCTGTGCATCTCTCTCAACTCTCTTTGATCAACTCCTTCTTCATCCATCTATCCTTACCACTAATTTTTCACACTGTCATCCTCCTGTCATCTCCCCTTCTATTCATCGCCTTTGCGTCATTCTCTTCCTCATATTTAAAAATAGTATTTTACATGTTTGGGATCTGCTGCTTGCAAAATAAAAGGCGCGTGTTGAGCAACATGTCCTCAGATGATAAAGAAATATGCAATTTAACATTAAAATGATCATTTGTGTTGATTGAACTTCATGGTTTGCCGGCCAGGCCTGAGTTAAAGTGACCTTCAAAGAAGGAGGAGGCACTATTGAGAGCAGCGGTACTTCTACTTGCCTCTAATTTGTTTTGTTTGGACCTTGGGATAATGTCTCAGATATGTTCTTGAAATTCTTACCAATCACATCTTGGCATCTTGGTTTGTAGCGTGTTAGTGTGAGGCTATCGAGTTGCAAACGCCCGGACTGAAAAATGAAGCCTAGTCAGAAAAAACTGCAGTTCTTGGTTTGGCCACATGAGGCTGCCTCATGCGTCTCCCATGTTAAATGACCAAATTTAACAGCGTTAAACAACACGTTTACCACCTGATACAAAAGAAAAACCACTGCTAGGCATGATCTCAGCCAATTTGAGATGCCGAATACATCCACCATTTTCAAAACAACCTGTAGTGCTGCAGCTTTGAGCATTTGGCATTCTAACATGCTCCTAATCAGGATACTTGCTAATTAAAAAAATGATTATGACGATGAAAATCATCATGATGAGCCAAACGTTTCAAACTGCAGTAAAATGTTTGAACCTGAAGAAGGTACAAGTGGCTGGAGTCTATCGCAGCTGTCACAGAGGCAGGGTACACCATGGTCGCCAGTCTGTCGCAGGGCTAACACCACTACCATTCACACCTTGGCAATTTAGAAGTACCAGCAAACCCCACTAACTGCATGTCTTTGGATTGTGGGAAGAAGCCGGAGTACCCGGAGAGAACCCATGCAAACACAGGGAGAACATGCAAACTCAGGACCATGAATGTGTGAACCAATTTATTCATGAATTTTCACTGGAAAACTCAACAAAATCAGTGGGATGAAATCTCAGGGAAGTGCAAATATCTATAAAAATGTCTTTTTGCCAGTCCATCCAACCAAATTTGTCCAACCAATGTCAGAGCAACCTAATATTCCTAAAACGCCATTATTCTTTTTGCTCCAAGACCACCTCTGCAAATGTCACAGCTTTGCGAAGTGGTGAAAAATCCTACTAATTATAGTAAAATATGGCAGTGGGATAAGCTTCTCTTTGGGGCACTCAAGCATGCGGTTTATGGTTGTCAGCATGCAAACCATCAGCTGTTCCTAAAGCTGACCAAGTACTTTTCTTTCCTAAAATACTTCATTTCTTTTTCAGTTCAGTTTTATTCATATAGCACCAAATCACAACACCACAGGTGCTTCACGTTGTCAGGTTTAAATGTAAGGTGTCGATGTCTCTAGAGTATTTTTTGCATTAATATTGTCGATGAACAAAGGAAAGCTTTTTAACACTGACTGTGTGT